TATATTGATATATATACATATATTTATAAATATTTGTATAAAACTGAACCTTTCGGACTCAATAATTAACTCAAAGTTACCTGATAAGATGGCGTTTGAGTCCGTCCGTCCTTCAGTAAACGTCTGACTGTCTGATCGTCTCTCAGCCATGGCAGGTCTCATCGTCCCGCCCATGTGAGGAGGACACCGCCAGACCCCCGCCCCCTCCCCATGAACCCCCCCAGCGCTGATGGCCCCGCCCACCTGAAATACGCCAGCGATAAAATCCTTCCCATCATCCCCCAGAATATATCACTGCACCAGGAGACTCTCCGTCGATTCATTCGCCGCCTGTGGGACGACCTAGCACTGACGGCTGCGGCTNNNCGCAGACGTTCCAACGGGAAGCGGACGTCTGCGGCGGCTCCACGTGGAGGTCAAAGGTCAGCGGCGTGAAGAGTGGACTGTGGGTGGGAGGGAAGGCGAGTTATGAAACAGTCTGTGTAGACCAGAACAGGTCTCAGATCAGTTTGAACCACTGTGAGACAGGAAGGAGGCGTGTCCACCGGGAGCTTCTGCAAAGGGTTCGATCTGATTGGACAGTAAGCCAATATTGATCAGTAGTCTTCCATATTTCAGCCATTTAGTACAAACAGCCAACCATACTCCTTCTGGAAAGTCACATGTTTTAATTTCTGCCTCTCCAGGTTTCCTTTAGCTTCCAATTGTTTCCAAACAATCAGTCTTTTCTCAAATGGAGTTCTGAATGGGCCTAAAACTGAGACCAGAGCCTGACGCCTGGTTTAAAATATGTAAACCAGACACATCCAGTCCTGTTACGTCTGTGTAAACACAGAGCTAGCTTAAAATACTCTCGTTAAAATAGATAAAAACACCAAAAGAATTGGGTTACTAGGACAGTTATTTCCCAGATTCAGACACTTGACTGATATATCAGTAATATATGAAGAAAAGTCTCTGCAGATTAACTTTCATAACAAATTCAGATTAATTATCAGGATTGTTGGAAAACCAGTAATGTTAGCATGTGGTTGTAAATGGTCTAAAATTTAAAGTTACAGTTCCAGAAAATCTGGTTTAAAACTTTATTTATAACAATATTTGGTTAAAAACCAGCTACAATGTGCAGTCATATATTATTTTAATTAAATATTGGCTGAAGGTCACTGATTGGTTTTCAGAAGCTCTCGGTGGACACTGAACCTGAGTCGGACCGAGTCCAGAAACCAGGAAAAAATCTTCAAACCTTTTTTCAAATCCAGAAACCGTTTGACGTTTTTTCCGGATTTGACAGGTTTTCAATCACAAATCCCCAAAAAATCCCCTGCCCCAGGACCAGACTCCTGATCAATATCTTCTAGCGTTTTCCTTTCTGTACGATAGCTTTTAACAATGTTTGTCTTATATTCGGAGGAAAATGCAGTAATTTTCTAAGCTAACGGATGAACGAACAAACGTCCTGTTACACTAACGTTTGTCTGAATAAAGTCGAGGCAGCCCGAGTTATTACTTTAGTTTTTTTTTAGTTACATTTTCTGTTAATTTTTCTCTGATTTTTAAAAACTCCAGTACAATAGTTCTGTTTCGCAGGTGTGTCGAGTGGTAGATTTTAACCAGAAAAAGCTTGCAGCAGTTTTAATCACATTTAGGTACCAGATTTTTCTTGTTATTCTTCTGATTGTGCTTATTTTATATGTATTTATAAAGTATGTTTTGGGGAGTTCCTTTTGTGATTTAGGCCTGAATGATAGTCTCAAATATATATGTAAACACATTTGATGTCTTAATACCTTTTAGATATTGTAAAAAGAGTGAACAAGTGAGAGGAATTAACCCTTTTGTAAAAACAAAAAAACGTCACGACATGGTCACCCTGTTTTTGAAAGCAGGACGTTAAAAAAAAACGCTTTCATCACTTTTGTATAAAAATGCTTTTCCGATACGATATTTAACTTTTTGTAAACAGCATCATTTGTGTTTCCCCTGGTTCTTCTCGTCCTTTGTGTATTATTGTGAAATGTATAATCATGGTTATTTCTTAATGCACTATTTTTGTTGGGGCACTTAATAAAGAGCAATGCATCTTAGCAAAAAAGATTAAAAAAAGCTAAAAGTTTAACAAAAAAAAGATGAAAGCTAGAACGATATGCACCGGTATGTTTTTCTGCCGTTCTGAAACGGCAAAAAAATCCTTGTCATGTGAAATTTTTATATTTCAGAAGCTTATAACGTCATAATATTCCTCCACTCTTACTTTTGGACCAAGCGTATCTCTTGGTTTCGGTGTTTAGAAGACAATATTTTACCCATCTTAATATTAGACCCGATCCTAGTCTTTGTGTTTCTTGGTGAGAATGATTGTACGATTTAAAAACAGGAAGCAGATTTTAAAACCACTCCGGATTTACTTTTATTTTGGTCACCGATCTCAAGGAAACTTCCATCGATGTTGGTGTTGTTGTTGATGGTGCTGTTCTCGTCGTCGCACACAATCTGGATCATTTACTTATGCAACTGTGTTCCTGTTCTGTAATGCAAGCTCATCTTCCACGCCGCCGCTGTGGAAAAGTTTGGAAATTAAAAAGAAGTCGCGTTTCGATGCCTTACGATCGACCTTCAACACAATGTTTTCGCTTCCTTTCAGTTCGTACATCGTCTGTTTGACTACACAATTCGTTTTGCACCGGACGTTTTTGTCCCTCAGGTTCCCTTGAATAAACATAATGTTAGCATCATCAGCACTTAGCCTTTTAAATAGCAACGCCTGTTTGTTTGAGTGAAAACCTTTAAAGGTTTCAGATTTAGGAATAAAAAATAAACATACTACAACACAGTCGGGAAAAATTAGTGACGTTATCTCGTAATTATACATCATTTTGTTATAATTTAGCATCTCATAATAAGAAATTAGAATTACATCATTTTATAATACATTTGTTAACCAAATTACATGAAAACTCTCCAACAATCTGCATCACTAATAATCATTAAGAAACAATCTCACAATTACAAAATCTGTATCATGAAATTGCGAGAAAATTAGGTCATATTTACGTGACCCATACCTCACCGTCTAATAGCTCAGAATTATCTCACAACTCTGAAATTAACATGTTTTGTATTTTAGAATTACGAGGAAACAATCTCACGATTAAACATTTTCAAGAAAATTTGCTTAAATTTTCAAATCTATTCTAACATTATGAAGGTCTATAGAGACGTATCTTAAAAGCTACAGATCTCAACATTAATATTAGAATATGATTTTACATTGAAGGAATGATTTTGTGCTTAAACATGAACCATCTTTCATCCATTTAACTCCTGAACAATAAAACATCTCTACATTTATTTTTAACCACAAATCCAAGGTGAGGGCAGGAATCTAAAGCTCAAACTTTTGACTTTATGCAAATCCAGCAGGACAGAAACCTTCGGTCACTGCACAGCGTCACCGGACGCCATCGTCCTGCAGAGCGAACCGCCTCACCTCGTACAGTTCGACTCCCTCGTCTCCGTTTCAACAGCTTGCTGATTTTATTTCCTTTTTTTGGTCACAGTTGTAGAAAGTTTGCTTCTCACCGTCCTGGTTTTCAGCTGAGGTTTTAAAAACTGCAAAGTATACTTTTTTCAATGTTTTACTTCAATGTGAAAGAGGGCAGAGGTACTGCATCTTTGTGAAATATGAAATACAGTATATCATCAAAGTATATCAAAGCACAATGTTTAATTAATGTCTTTAGAATACGAACGGGGGCGACTCCCCCGGCTCTTTTCTTTTCCTGTCTCTGGCCATGCTGTAAATAGATGCATGTTTTTTGGGTTTTTTTGTTTGTTTTTTTCCTGTGATCCAGTGCTTTTTGTACAGAAACAGTCTAATAAAGATTACATTTGGCTTGAACTCTGAGCTCGTCTCTCTTCTGTGGAGTCAAATATAAAGTTAATCTGAATGGATTTGGAGTGAATGTGACACCGAATTTAAACCTCTCGTTGATCATCAGAGACAAGATTGGATGTTTCTGTATAGTTATTTATAATGTCAGATTCCCCTTGAAATCAATGAGACGAGGCGGCAGAAACAGAATCAGCTCACAATGAAGTCAAATATAATACATAAAACTAATCATTCATCATGAATGACCGTGAGATAATAATAATGAATGAATTATTGAATTCAATAATGAAATCTATCAATAAATGGGTTCTCTGCTACAACCAGCTGATCAGATCAATGGATTACAGCAGACGTTGAGCTCTAGAAGAGTAAACTCTCACAGCTAACGAACTAGCTGAAATATTAACCATTGGAGTCAATTACATCAAAACCAGAAGGAAATATTAAAGCGCCTCATGCTTGATCTTATCGACTGCCTGAGTGACGTTGACGAGAGGTGAAACATAAAGTCGAGAATGTTTTAACTTTAATGTGAGTTTCACAATTATGAGATTCAGATCCCAAAATTATGAGAAAATGTAGCTTTGAAAATTACAAGACAAACAAGATCATAATTACAGAAAACTTACATTTACAAGATCAATATTTCATCTTTATCACAAATCTGAATTAAAATTTAATGTTTCTGTTTCTCAGTTTTTAAATATGTTTTTGAGAAAGCTGTCTCATAATTTTAAATCATGGACCTTTAAAGATACAGATCCGATCATTATGATTAACACATGAAACCCAACACGTCGTTTGACAGGGAAACAGCGGTTTTATTGGCAACTTGTTTCTGGTGTCAAAGAAGTTAAATAGAGAAGTGTTCTTGCATGAGATCCAATGTGTCAATGAGCAGAAACGAGGCTGTTTTTCAGAATAAAAGTTGTCAAATAAACATACTGGAGTCTCCAAACTGGGAAACAGTCCAGCAGTGAACTGGATTGAAGGATGTGACTGGAAGTTTTCAAGGTTTTTGGGAGGAGAATGTTTCTGAAAACTACCAAACTTTTCCAACACGGTTCATCCAGCAGAAATATTCTCCCAGCTAGCTCCAAAGATTACAGTTAGTGATGAAACTGTTGGCGGCGGATGGACAGGACGGAGCTCTGATTGACGTTTGGAGTCGGGCTGATGTGAATCAATCAGCGCCGCTCTGAGCCAAAGCTACAATCCTTCAGTCGGAGCTCCGCAGACGGTAAAAACATCACCGAGGCAAGGTTCGTACGGAGGAGGTGATCCAGGAGGGTTCAGATGTTGACAGTCAGGAATCCTTCTGTAAATCCACAATCCTGAACCTTCAGAGAGAATTTACTGATGGACTGAGATCCTTAAACTTTATTATTTGTGGGCTTAATATTTGGAATCAATTATTATACTTCATCCGCATCCACGAAGACCCGCAGGACCTCAAAGTTTTTATAGTGTTATTTAGAGTTATAAAGTATATAAAGGTTACAGTATATCTCAGTCTGAAGACTCTGAAGGAGCTCGTACGTTTTCAGCCCCACAACAGAAATAATTACTATCCGTCTATCACATGCTTCAACCAATCAGATCATTGAACCGTATAATGTAATCAAACTCTTACTGAAGTCCGTCAGGAGAAGAAAAAACTCTTAATCTTTTCCGTCAAGAAAAACCTTCAGTGATGTTCTTCGAGTAACTTAGAATATCAATCTGCGTCAGCGGGAAAAATAACTGTTAATGGACGCACTTTGTCCCCAAGGAAAGACAATTTTATTGTTTCTGTCCAGTTTGTTATGAGATGTTAAAATTATCTACAAGGTAAAATTGGTGTTTTTTCTATGGACTCTGGTGACTTCATAGATAAACAAACTTTCAATAAAACTGTTGTAAAAACGCTTTCTGATGAAAACTGCGACTCACTCCTGTTCAACTAGGAACTACGAACAGACCTGTACAAACACAAACCAGGTCCCTCGTGGTAAGGTACGTTCCTTGATGCTGAAAGAGAAAGAGTGATAAGTGCTTTTTAAAGTCTGAAGGTCAGCGGTGGTCTTTATCAGACCTGCAGTCCTGAGCAGGAAGTCTGGTTTCCATCGCGGAGGACCAGAACAGGCCGGTATCAGGTCTGCAGCAGGGAGGAGGGGGTTGGGGGTTTGGCAGCGTCGGGCCTGCTGAGGCCCCTCTAAAGGCACAATTAACTTTCACTCCACCGTCAGCACCAACCTTGATGAGTTGTGAAGTCAGTTTCTTGACTGCACAGCGCTCGTTAGCGCAGGCCGACGCCCGAGGCGAAGAAACCCTCCAACCGACCCTCCCTGAGTCTGCACATCCTCGGCCAACGCTGCACGCCGCGGCTGCCAGAGCGAGCTGCACGCCAACCGGCTCGTGTTCACAGAGAGGAGAGAGAGGCTGTTAACGGGTTGGACACATTGTGATGGATACGGAAGCTCAGAAACGCTCGATCAGAACTTCTTCTGGACCGACTGAGAGCGAGAAGATGCTGATTGGTTGAACAGGTCAATCAATAAGAGAATCAGAAAAATTAGAATTATGACGACATTCGATCACATGAACTAAAGTTTGAATGTAAAGATTTATTGAGCAGTTTGACGCTACGGTTACGTCACTGCAGCGAAAACAGGTTGAGAACATTTTAGCTAACGAGGCCTCTGATTAAAATAAGAGTTTGAGAGATAAAATACGTCAGTGAACATTGAGGTAGACACTTCTGCTCACCGAGCGGCTTACTTCCTGTTAGCCATCTGCTAACTTCCTTTTGGCCCTTCACTACCTTGACTGGAGATGAAATGATGTAATTGTTCAGCTCTTCGTTAAATGGTTCACGCACTATATCAAATTGGTTTCCAAGTGCGGCTTTTCTCTGGCTAATGCTAATGCTAATGCTAGGTCTTTCTGTAAATGAAAACTACAAACTGGACTTTTTCTCTCCAGCTGGATTAAATTGAAATAATAATATATTGAGGAAACAAAGAACATCGAGTGCTCAGATTAGTGAGTTTAGTAAATGATTCATTAATAGTTTTTCCTCTCGGGCTCGGAGGGAGGAGGTCTCTGGATTTGCTGACTGCAGCTGTTGGGGGGGGGGCAAAAAGACCCACCAATGTTTTGAAATAGTTGAAATATTTTTTAATCAGCCGGTGGAAGAGGTGCTAGAGAGTCAGCGCAGGTGTGTTTGGTTTGGGCGACAGTGACATTATGTCACTGCTGCTCGCCATACATCCGCGCTCTTAAAGAATTAGACTGTTTCCTGTGAGCTGATGATGTCATTGTGATACTACAGGGTCTCTGTGTGTTATTATAAAGCTCAGCACTGTAAGTCATCTCACACAGGAAAAAGCCCCAGGCCCGGCCCTCGCGATGACACCGGAGCCCTCGCCAACTGGGCTCAGAGCTGGAGGAGGTATGTAAATCACTCCGTCCAAACGCTCCGCACTCGCCAACCTCGTTTCCTGGGAAGGACGCGGTTCTGGACGAGGACTGGAAATCTGATGTGGGTCCCATCGAAGCCATGTGTTGCTCAACATCCACTCAGTCAGCACAGAGAGGATGTTTCAGAGGGAGGGTCAGTGGTTTCCTCATCGAAACCAGATCTGCACAGTTCAGCAGGACTCTGACAGACCTGGTTCAGGTACAGTCATGAGCCTTAAAGACCTGGTTCAGGTACATTCAGGAGCCTTAAAGACCTGGTTCAGGTACAATCAGGAGCCCTAAAGACCTGGTTCAGGTACAGTCAGGAGCCTTAAAGACCTGGTTCAGGTACAGTCAGGAGCCTTAAAGACCTGGTTTAGGTACAGTCAGGAGCCTTAAAGACCTGGTTTAGGTTCGGAGACTTTTCTCAAAAACATTACAAAGTAAAATACTGAACTTTTATCTTAAAATAATAAGAATAAAATCGATGACAGTTGTAATTTTGTAGGAGGCACTATCAAGCTATTTTGCCACACATGCATAAGACTGAATTTTTGTCGTTTGTGCCAAGTTTCATGCGATAAACTGTTAAAACGTAACATAATCCCCTGTTTCCAGTAGGGGGCGCTGTAGGACTCATATCAGACTTTTAGTGGAGATATGCTGAAGTTACAACAACTTTCTGCTTCATGGTGAAATGTTGACCAAATTCAACGCCACGCTACAAAACTCAAGCTTTTCACAACTTTTCATCGTGAACGTCTTTAGATCGCACCGACTAAAAATTTTTTAAAATTGTTTTGTTAAATTCAAAATGGCCGACTTCCTGTTGGGTTTAGAATGTTGCTCCAAGACATTTTTCTGTACGTTTGGACAGAATACGTGTGCCAATCGATTTTCATACATCTTGGTGAACCGGTAGTGTGGCGAGTTTTCAAGTTAGTTCAAACAAAACTTTGATATTTACCGTGTCACCATGGCAACGGGGTTCAATGAAAACTCATCGTCAACGTTTTAAAGGTCTTTTTACCAAATTTCATCTGGATCTGATGAACTTGCTTAAGAGTAGATGAACTCAAGATATTGATAACCTTTCATTGTTATGGTCTTTAGATTGGATCTGATTTATGTTTTAGCGTTAAATAATTGATCGTCTCATTTATCTGGTTCCAGTTCCTCCAGCGTCTCAGATTCTTTTATCACAATAAACTGAATATTTTTGGATTTTGAACAAAACAAAACACCCGACGTCAAACAATTGATAAATAAAATACCCAACAGGAAGTATTGATCAGGAGCTTTATTTGCAGTTTTGTCATTAATGAACCTCTGTATATTTAACACATTTATGGTTTCTGATGAGGAAATATTGCAGTTTATTTTGAAGCGTTAACAACATTTATAACCTGAATGTTTTAACACGGTGTGATAAACCTGCTGTGAAGTAAACACACAGTGTGTGTTACAGGTGTTACAGTGTGTATAAAGTGTGCTTTACAGTGTGTGTTACAGGTGTGTTACAGGTGTTACAGTGTGTATATAGTGTGCTTTACAGGTGTGTTTCA